TTTCATGAGCACCAAATGTCTACATGCTACTCCTTCTAGCTGGGATCGTTCCTCTGGCTCAGGAGCCACCTCCTCCAGGAAGCCTTCTCAGACTCCTGGGGCATGTTCCCCTCACCCAGAGTCTACTGCTTGTACTATTGCCCTCTCTCACTGCCATCCTGGACGCTCATGGGTGGATAGGGCTGTGCCTGGTTCACCTAAGCATCCCCACCACAGTCTAGCCCCAACAGGGCTTGGCACGCATAGTGTCTGCCGATGTTTGGTGAGTGAATGAATGTGTGAGCAAACACAGACACAGGCACCTGGACAAAGACCTGGAACAGAGGCAGACATGATCAGAAAGACGGGCAGGGACAGGATGTGACTGTGTCATTCTCGGGATGTTGTCAGGCCACTCTGAGGCAGGGTAGTAGTAAATGTGAGAAGCTCAAGGGCAAACTCGAGGGGTGAGAGTGAGTGCTGAGGCTGGCAAGCACACAAGTAGCCCACAAGTACCTAGAGCATACCAGGGCATGTGAGGAGGCAGAGGGGCCACCTTACCCTGGAAGTTGGGGGCGAGCTCCATGGTCTGACTTGTCCTTGGGTTCTTGCAGACCACCTTCTGGAGGTGAACCTGGGTAACCTTGATCAGGTCTCCTGTGGAGAGGCAGCATTCATTCCCAGAAATCTCGTAGATGGAGCCTGCAGAGACATGGACTCGGTTTCCCTGTGGGGCAAGTGCCAGGCAGCCTGTATCCTGTGCCCAACACACTGTGCTCTGTCACACCTTTGTACGCTTTGTTCCTGCTGCCCAGAACGCCCTTTCTCGTCTTTCCCTGCCTACTGTCCTCTGGTTCAGCTGCCCTCAGCCATCTCTGCCTCTTCTTCGCATTGGATGCGCCCCTCCCCCCAGGGTATACTTCTCTCTAGCCTTTCTCAAAAATCCCAAGCCTCCTAAATTGTGCTCATGGATGGGACAGATCCATCTCAACACCACTGCAACCAGCACAGGGCTTGGCCTCTGAGTCTGTGTTGATCCATAAACGAGTAAATAACCCAGGGATTCCCAACTCCCTTGTTATACACATATAGCTATGAAATCAGGTTCAGGCACGGTAGCTCACGCCTATAATCCTAGCACTTTGGGAGGACAAGGCTGGGAGATCATTGGAAGTCAGGAGTTCAAGACCAGCCTGGGAAAAGCAAAACCTTGTGTCTACAAAAATAGAAAAGCTAGCCAGGCACTGAGGCAGGCACTTGTCGTCCCAGTTACTCAAGAGACTGAGGCAAGAGGATCTCTTGAGCCAAGGAGTTTGAGGTTGCTGTGAGCTATAATGCCACCCCACTCAATCCCTGAGTGACAGAGTGAGACTCTGTTTCAAAAAAAAAAAAAAAATAGCCTATGGAAAGTGAGACCCTGTCTTTACTAAAAATAGAAAAAATTTCCAGGCATAGTGACAGGCACCTGTAATCCCAGCTACTTGGGAGGCTGAGGCAGGAGGATCACTTGAATCCAGGAGTTTGAGGTTTCTGTGAACTAGGCTGTGGCACTCTAGTCCGAGTGACAGAATAAGACTCTTTCTCAAAAAAAAAAAAAAAAAAAAAGCTGGGCATGGTGATTCACTCCATTAATCCTAACACTCTGTGAGGCCAACTTGGGTGAACTGCCTGAGCTCAGGAGTTCAAGACCAGCCTGAACAAGAGCAAGACCCTGTCTCTACTAAAAGCAGAAAAATTAGCTGGGTATAGTGGTGCATGCCTGTAGTCCCAGCTACTCAGGAGGCTGAGGCAAGGAGTTTGAGGTTGCTATAAGCTATGACGCCAGGGCACTCTACCCGGAGTGACAGAGTGAGACTCTATCTCGAAGAGAAGAGAGAAGAGGAGAGGAAGGGAAGGGAGGGGAGAGGAGGGGTAGGGAGAGGAGAGAAAAGGAGAGGAGAGGAGAAAAATCCAGTTCGGAGAGGGGCAATGGCTCCCTCAGGTCACCCAGAGCCAAGGTGGGTATCCAGCTCTCTAAGACCTTGCCTTTCTCGTCAGATGAGTTGTTTTTAATGGCAGCACAGGAGAGAATAGAAGAGCACTAACACAATGGTCAAAGTTCTGGGCATCCACTTTCGAGCTCAGCAGCCCACATTCCTAGTTGAAAGTGTTGAAGCAGTGTTGAGAACACAGAAGGCACTCAATAAAGATCCTTCCCACAGAGTGTGTATGGAGGACAGGTGACTGCAGGGGGTCCGCCTTTGAAGCCACCTGACACCCCCACAGGCAGCCCTAGCAAGGCCCTTCACGTCAGACCCAAGAAACTGATGAAAACCTTACACCAGGAAAGGGCACACAGTTCTGTCTGCAACGTCAAGGTGTGGCCTTCCAGACAGGTAAGAACCATAGCTGCCATGCTGTATACACCAGGCGCCTAGGGCACAGAGTGCTTCTGATGTATCATTGCATTTAAGACTCATGACTGCCCTTGGGGGAGATGGGCAGTTTCGATTTCCTAAGTAATAAAATTGAGACTGTTGAGGTTGAGTGTGTCACCCAAAGTGATCAGGTAATAGAAGCAGAACTGAGACTTAACCACTTAACCACTCAGCCATCCGCTTCTGAGTGTCCTGCCGACCACAGGTCCCCACCAGTATGGCCATCTGTCCTTCACACTCACCACATCTGCACACCCACACCCTCTCAGGGCCTTCTCTGGTCACCATCACCCTAACCCCAGGTCTGGTATTGTGACACCAGCAGGCATGGGATGCCTGGGGGACCTAGGGGCTTGAACCTGGGCTAGGGGAAGAAGGAACAGATTCAAGCGCTGCCTACAGTAAGCCCCCAGAGAAAAGAGAGAACCCAGAGATGCAGGGTGGGGGTGCAGGTTGCTCCCCTAGGGCAGACTTAGGTATAGAGGCCTGCCCAGCCTTCTACCAGAACCAGAGTCAGGATTTGAACCTAGATCTGTTAGATACCCAAGTGGACCTGGAGAGGCCCAGTGGAAGGTGGTGGCCCCTATGACTCTGCATGTGTCTCAGCCCGCCTGGGACCAGAACACTGCTGGAAGCTGCTGTGGCAGAGTAAATTTCCCCCAGGCAGGAAGCAGGGCTGGGCAGGCCCTCATGCCTAAGTCTGCCCTAGGGAAGGAACCTGCACCCCCTACCCTGCATCTCTTGGTTCTCTCCCTCCCCCCTTTCCCCTCTCCAGCCGTCCTCCCCCTCGCCGCTGAGCAGCCCTGGCCACAGCCTCTGTGCTGCGGTCCTCTCCTTCCCACCACCTGTCAACCCTCATCTCCTGCTCTTTGGAACAATAACCAGTGAGTGTGTCCCTGCTGTATACGCATCCCTGTGAACCTGGGGGCGGAGTCTGTGGGCAGGGGGCAGAAGTGTAGGTGTAAAAGGAGCAGAGAGTTGGGCCATTTAAGCTAAGAACTGAAGAGCTGATCAAATATTGCCCCTGGGCCAGCAAGAGCCAAAGTGGGATGAAGGACTAAAAAATGGCAGTGTACATAAGGCAAGGGACCAGGGTGGTGCCATGGATATGGGAGACCGCTCTAGCACTTGAGTCAAGGAACAGCAACCATCAAGAGCGCCCGGGACGCCGCGCCGCCAGTGCAGACGGAGCTCCCTCCACGCACACACGGTTCCACCTGGCTTGGCTCGCGCGCAGTCACCTCCGACGCCTTAATTTACTGACTTTTCATCACCACCCTGCGGGGCAGGTCAATAATCCCCCCATTCCACGGAAGCCAAAAGCCAAGTTCCAGAGAGATTGAGTCTGGCCGCAAATCTCAGCTTGGGTAGTGGCGGCGTCAGGGTTTGAACCCGCGGCGCAGTTCACCCCTGTTTCTAACGCCCTCGCAGCGCCTCTGCCTCCGCCCCACCGCCTGGCCGCAGCGGGAGGGGCTCGGAGGGGTCCCGACCCTTCACTCACCCTCGAAGTAGACCCCCGAACAGACCCGCAGCACGCGCGGGAGGGAGGCGGGGTCCAGGGCGCGCACGAAGTCCTGCAGCAGCACCGCCTCCATGGTTCCGCCGCAGGCTGGGCGCAGACTGAGCGCCGGGCGGCCGCCAGCCCGCGGATCCCCGCAGAAGCCCCGCCCCGGCCCGCGGAAGCCCCGCCCCGCCCGAGTCCCGCAGGACCCGGGTGGGAGGAGGAGCGATGATGAAGAGAAAAGAGGGGCCTCAGACGTCGGTCCTCTGCGGTGTTTCCAGTTAGAACCAGGGGACTTGGCCTGCCTTGTGCAGCTTTGGTTTCATGGAAAGACACAGCCCTGCGCTTTGGGTCTGTGGGGAGGAAGATGTAGCGTCAGGTCTCCTTAACGTCCCTCCAGGACACTCCATGGTCCTCTACTTGGACACCTCTTAGTGAAAGGGAACTCATTACTGTTCCAGGACGCCCATATCCTTCGGATAATTCTAGTTAAGCCTTCCTTGGAGGCTCAGCGGCGGGGTAGAGGTCAGGGGAGGCACACTCCTGTAATCCTAGCACTTTGGAAGACTGAGGTAGGAGGATCCTTTGAGCTCAGGAGTTTATGCCGAGCCTGAGCAAGAGCAAGGCTGCATCTCTACTAAAAGTTGAAAAATTAGCTGGGCAATGTGGAGGATGCCTGTAGCTCCAGCTTCTCTGGAGGCTGAGGCAGGAGGATCGATTGAGCCCAGGAGGTGGAGGTTGCGGTGAATTAACTCCAATATGGGCAACAGAGCAAGACTCTGTCTCAAAAAAAGAAAAAGAAAAAAAAAATTCTTCCTCATCCAAAAGAGCAAAAGAAAAATCTACTTAGGAAACAGACCAACCACTTCTCTCTTTTCTGAGCCTCAATTTCCTCTGTAAAATAGGGGAAAGAGGTGGGGTGTGGTGGCTCTCACCTGTAGTCCCAGCACTCGGGGAGGTCCAGGCGGGTGGATCATTTGAGCTCAGGATTTCGAGACCAGCCTGAGCAAGAGCAAGCCTCCCACTCTAAATAATAATAATAATAATGACAGGACGTTGTGGCAGTTCCAGCTACTTGGGAGGCTGAGGCAAGAGGATCACTTGAGCCCAAGAGTTTGAAGATACTGTGAACTATGATGTTTCTGCACTCTACCAGAGGCAAGGAGGTGAGACTCTGTCTCAAAACAAATAATAAAAGTAAAATAAAATAAAATAAAATATGGGAAAGAATCTTTTCTCAGCAGATTGTGAGGGTTAAATGAAATGATACAGGTGGCTCAGCACCTGTAGCTGAAGTGGCTAAGGCACCAGCCATATACACCTAAGGTGGCAGGTTCGAATCCAGCCCGGGCCCACCAAAACAATGATGGCTGCAACCAAAAAATAGCGGGCGTTGTGGCAGACGCCTGTGGTCCCAGCTACTTGGGAGGCTGAGGCAGGAGACTTGCTTGAGCCCAGGAGTTGGAGGTTGCTGTGAGCTGTGATGCCACGGCACTCTACCCAGGGGGACAGCTTGAGACTCTGTCTCAAAAAAGAAAAGAAATAATACAGGTATTATGTAAAATGCTTTAGTTTTTTGTCACTATAAAAGTGGTAGAAGACTTTTTTTAGTAGAAGACTTTTAAACAGAGATAATAACCAAAGTTTAATATAGTGGAAAAGTAAAAGAAACTATAGCTGTGCACCACCATGCCCAGCTAACTTTTTTAAGAGATGGGGTCTTGCAATGCTGCCCAGGGTGGTCTTGAACTCCTGGGCTCAAGTGCTTCTCCTGCCTCAGCTTCCCAAGTAGCTAATACTACAGGTGTATGCCACCAGGCCTGACTGAAAAATGATGAGCCTTCATTTCTTTCCCATGTGTTTAAACCCACCATTGTAACCCTGATGGATTTCTGGTCAGTCCGGTTTTGCCTAGAGTTACAGTAGGCCCTACTGTAAGAATAAAAGATAAGCTTTTAGCCTGGGTAATGTGGCTGAGAACTTGTTTCTACAAAAGATGAGGAAAAAAAATAGCTGTGTGCCTGTAGTTAGGAAGCTAAGGCAGGAGGATTGGATCCCTTGAACCCAAGAGTTTGAAGCCTCAGTGAGCTATGATCTTATCATGCCAATGTACGCTAGCCTGGGTGACAGTGTGAGATCCTGTCTCAAAAAAAGAAAAGAAACAAGAAAAATATACAGGCTTTGGAGACAGACAAAGCTGGGCTCAAATCCTGGCTCCATCACTTCTTAGCTGTGTGACCTTGGGCAAGTTCCTTAACCTCTCTGAACCTCAGTTCCTTCTTGTGTAATGGGGACTGGCAGGAGCTGGGGTATTGGTAAATGTGATAGTGTGACACAGGCACATGGGCACATACCAAACATTCAATACCTACTGTTATTTTATTATTATTTCTCAAGGGCCACCTGTACCTCTAATAAGAGAAGATCTTACTTACTTCTCTTTATTTACTACCCTGTTTTCTTTTTTTTTTTTTTTGAGACAGAGTCTCACTTTGTCGCCCTCAGTAGAGTACCATGGCGTCACAGCTCACAGCAACCTAAAACTCTTGGGATTAAGCAATTCTCTTGCCTCAGCCTTCCAAGTAGCTGGGACTACAAGTGCCTGCCACAATGCCTGGCTATTTTTTGGTTGTAGTTGTCATTGTTGTTTGGCAAGCCCAGGCTGGGTTTGAACCCACCAGCTCCAGTGTACGTGGCTGGCACCCTATCTGCTGACGAGCTGACACCCTGCTTTCTATTTTAGGAAATAAGACTCATACTGGGAAATCATCTTCCTTTCAGTTGCACAACATGCAAATGGAGGAACTGTATTCAAACCCAGTCTCTGGGTTGCCATAGCCCAAGTCCTTTTTACTTTCCCACGCTGGCAGCACCAGCCTGTGGTCTGTCCATTGGTGGTTCAGAAACTGGTTCAGAGAAGGAAGCTCAGGCTCCCACAGATGCCAGAAAAGGGTGAGGGTCTAGGGCTGCCGAGGACTGGAGTCCCTGCTTCATCAGCCTTTCTGTTATTTCTTGGAGTCTGGAGGGAGCTCAGGACCTCTCTTAGATGGCTACTGTGGCAGCTGGTCACAGCAGCAGGGTGACAGACAGGGTGGGGCTGGGCCCTCACCTGGTGCTCGGGCACCACACACTCCCATATTTCTCTCTCACTTGACTTGGTTTTTTTCAGCAACTTACAAAGAGAAGGAGGGGTCTCCCTCTCTGTCCTGTGTCACCTCCCCCTTTCTGGGAGGGGAACACCCTGACATTGATGCAATATTGATGATTTTTACAATGTCCTGCTGTCCACTTAAATGTCCACCAGCATGGCACATTCACGCAAAGTGGTGGAAAACAGCAGGGTCAAAACCAGTGTGGGAGGGAGATGGAGAGTGTCAACTTCCCCATGGGCAAGTGAGGAGGTCCCAACACACAACTCAACCTGCAGAGGGGCTTTTCGTGCTGGTTAGAAGTCATCTGTGTCCTCACAGCCTGATGCTTCTGACATCTTCTTCCTTGTTGGCAGGGCCCCTCGTGGCTGCCCTTTCACAAGCCCCAGGTGCCACCTACCACTGGGCATCCAGGATGCTCCAAAGAGCAGATACACGCCCAGACTTGGAGGCCCTGAAGTTGTCATAGAGTTGTTCTCTCTCCAAGAGATCAAAATCCATCCTGTGCCCAGTGATGCCCTGAACTGTACTGACCACGGTGCAAAAAAAGTACTGAGGACTGGTTCAGAGCCTGTGGCTCAAGTGGCTAAGTTGCCAGCCACATACACCTGACCTGGTGGGTTCGAATGCAGCCCGGGCCCACCAAACAACAATGATGGCTGCAACCAAAAATAGCTGGGCGTTGTGGCGAGCGCCTGTGGTCCCAGCTACTTGGGAGGCGGAGGCGGGAGACTTGCTTGAGCCCAGGAGTTGGAAGTTGCTGTGAGCTGTGATGCCACTGCACTCTACCCAGGGTGACAGCTGGAGGCTCTGTCTCAAAAGAAAAAGTACTGAGGACCACTCACAGGATAAGAACAGAATTGCTCATAGCTCCAGGGATGAGAGTGGCAAAAGGCCATGTATTGTCTTTATCTGTTTTCTAGATTTTCCATAACATGGTTGGAGTACTTCTATATTAACAAAAACAATGTGAGCGGCTCCCTGCAGATTCTCTCCTGAGACAATTGTGGGGGTCATCTGGAAGGGTTGCTGCCTCCCATGGCAGATTGTCTTGGGGGAGGGGATGGGGAAACTGGTCACGTTCGGGGGGTGGGGGGAAAGAAGCTCAACCTATGTCTGTCCTCAAGGAGCTGGGGATGTCCTGTCACAAAGCTTCAAGGACCAGCTCATGCTGCCGTGTGGAGGGAAGTTAGCTTCAGCTCTTGGTTTCTTGACACTATGAACCAGGGGTAGATCAAGGACCTTTTACCACCAGTGTGTGGGGAGGAAGATGAGAAGAAGGAAGATGGGCGATGAGGAGAGGCAGGGGGGTGAGGAGCAGAGAGGAAGAGGAAGGGTGCGACCAGGGAGGGGAGAAACAAAAGACTGCGAAGCTCCCGCACAGTCCAGCCCCAGGGCCACCAGCAAAACACTGGGGGCCCCAAACCAAACTTTGAGGGACCGGGATCAGTAGTGGAGACAGGTGAGGGGGAGGCAGGAGCTGCTGAGGCGTGGGGACAGGGTAGGTCTCAAGGTGGGGGCGAAGCAGATCTGGAACACAACATGAAACCATGACTTTGGGCCTGGGGAAGTGGGTTTGAGCTCAGAGAGCTTTTTGCCTCTGTCCCTTCCTAACTAGAACTGTGGGAAGCTGTCCCCTCCCCTCCAACACACACATACTATGTCCAATGCTGCCCTCAGGGACAGGATCACAGCCCTGCAGAGGGAAGGAAGTGGGCTGATTCTGGTAACAAGGGTCAGGCTTTATTTTCCAGACATTGCAAAAACTTCCATGTGATTTCTGGATTTTAGGGTGGCTGCTGGGTTTGCTGTCCCTTTCAGCAAACGTTAAACTAAGAAGTCATCTCTTTTTCAAGATATAAAAAATAGATATAAAATAGATCTTTCAAGATATAAAAAAATCACACTATAACAAAGATATTTGTACCAGAATGTTTATGGCAGCCCAGTTCATAATTGCTAAGTC